ACAAAAAAATAATGGATGTCGCCCTCCTTGTGATGATGCCAGGGTTTCCCTTACATAGGCATAGCCGTGGCGGCCCGTCATGGCTGAAATCCCACCGCCACGCCTACAAGATCCCAAGTTTTTATTTTTTGCGCCGTTTCCCGAAGAAGCAGCAGGAACTACTATGTTGTCGCTTGTGATCACAGCCGGCGGGCAGCAAGGAGGAGCAGGCAGGGCAAGGTGAAGTTACAGCATAAGTTACTGAGTTTAAAATTAGAAAGGTAGCAGTGGATATAATGCTTTTTGGTTTACATGTTTCAATAGCATTAAGATAAACGAGTGTTGACAATCTTGACAGGGTTTCCTCCAGTGCTTATTAGGCCAGGTTTTCCTCCCCCCACCAGGCTAAGCATCACTTATTCATGTAAAATTAATTTATTTTTTCATGTCTGACTTTAACCGCATCTAATACTGTATTACGGCGTGAGCGCAACAGCGACAACTTAAGATCGATCCTGAGAGGTCGGGTGTTTCATCCGAACCCTTAAAACCTCCAGCAGGCTACGCTGCACTATTGACGTGTTAGCGACGTGACATGTCTCGGAGAAAGCGTAAAAACACGTTGGACGCTTCTTCTGAAGCAGGAAAATAACACTTCTTCTTAAGCAGAGCAGGACGTCGCCTCGAATCGTTCATGGCCGAGCCGGACTGAGCTCGATAACATTGACCCAGCACAGCCACTGGGTCGTTGGAGCTGCCCCGTGACTGCCTGATGGAAAACCAGCGGGTTTCATCAGACTCGTAAAGTTTCTTGTTTTTGCTGGGGACCCCCTGTATTTTACCACTCCCTCCTGCAGTCTTCCCCTATTAAAATTTAAAATGATTCTGTAAATTCCGTGTATCAATAGAAAAAATCTCTGTCTCTGCCAGCTGCAGTAAACGTAGTTTCCAAATAATAAGAGGTGCATTCATCTGTGTATCTCCTTTGACCCGCATTAGTGATATTTTCAGCACCAGAACAGTGGAGCAACAGATTCCTGAGTTTGTTAGTAATTTAATTTATTAGGTGCATCTAACCTGTTCTATCTTTCTCTGAAATGAGACCAAATCAGTGCTTCTATGGGTTGTCTCCTCTCTGCACTAGAAAAATTTACTTTATTATAATATTCACTGTAATGCATCTTGATGTTCTTAACAAATAAGTTAAATCAAAGATATTGGTCAATAATGCCAAATTTGTAATTTTGTGCTTCAGTCATTTTTATACTGGCTTAAAAATACTTCATTTTTATTTACCAAAATAAAGGGGACAGAAAGTCAAATAAAGGGGGGCAAAAGGAGATGTTTTTCCAGACACCAAGAAAAATTGTGAAATGGCACACAAAAAGTATTAGAAAAAAGTGTTTTTAGCCCCATTGACTTACATTAATTTTTCATTCTGTCCGGAAGTAGATTATTTATGTTTTAGTGAAACATTACGCAAAAAACATTACTTTCCATGAATCAAATGCCATTAAGTGTGTAAAAATAATAAGCTGCAGGCAGATCCTTTGCTGTAATTCTTCCGAGGAGTGCACCCCTGATAAACTTCTGTATTGGTGGTTAAAAAAACGATATAGGGAAAGGATGTACTGAGAGTCATTTGCGAGTAGAAATATTGTGATATTTCCCAAAATGGTATTCTGTCCCACCCTTAGAATCAAATGTTGGTTAGCTTCACCATTCAAAATGGGGACAATTGTGCAAATAAAACCACAATTTCCTCATAACCTTCCAGTTGCATAATTACAAAATAATTCATGAAAGCTTGAAAATTAGAAAATTGACAAAATTTTCTGCAGATGTATATTGTAAATTTTCATTATACTGGTTAAAAACATTGACAAAAACTAAAACCGGTTGACTTTACAAGACAAACTAAGTTTAAACAACTTTCAATGCAGGTAAGTATATTTATTACTCAATACTAATTATTACCACTATAATAGTGACACTGAATAATGAGAGTACTTGTGTTATATGTTACATAGAGAAATGTGAGTGTTTTGGGACAGCAGTAGCTCAGGAGGTAGAGTGGGTTGTCCAGTAATTGGAAGGTTGCAGATTCAATCCCAGCTCCAATCACAGAATGCTGCTGTTGTGTCCTTGGGCAAGACACTTAAACCGCCGTGCCTGCTGGTGGTGGTCAGAGGGACCGGTGGCTAGGGATGGGTACCTTTGACATTTGAATCGATCCGGTACTAATTCCCGGTACCTACGAGTCGATACCGGTACTTAACGGTACCAATTTTCTATACTTTTGAGTGTTTATTATTTTGATTCTCTTTTATAATTAAATATATATTTTTCTCAATATATAACCATATTTGATAAATATCACGATAAATAACATACAAGTTTGTATTTTAACATCGTCCTTGTAGTTTTATAAGCTGATAATTAAACTGAAGCAAACATCTTTACTGTGAACTAAATTTACTGTGTATCTTCCTTCCTTTTGCCGTCCTTTTTCATTTGATTTTTCCTACTGGGAAGTTAGAATTTCCGAGGAGAAAGCGAACGCACCATTAGCTGGTAACGGTGGCAATGGAAGCTAACATATCAAGCTAACGTTATCTTTAACAGTTTATTTAGCTGCTGGAGCAGATTAAAACGATGATGCCTCAAACTTAGATCGTTGTCGCTGGTTTTACCTTCATCCATTCACCCGTCGCATTTAGTAAAGTAAAGCCAAACTTTAGAGCGCGTTCATGTTCTTCTAGTCGGAAATTCGGAGTTCCGAGGAGAAAGCGAACGCACCATTAGCGAAACGGAAGCTAACAAATCAAGGTAACGTTATCTTAAACATTTTATTTACCTACTGGAGCAGATTAAGATGAGGCTGTCTCACTTAGATCGTTGTCTGTCGCTAGTTTCATCACCCAGTTACCCATCACATTTAGTGAAGTGGACCCAAGCTTTAGCGTGCGTTCTTTCTACCATGCTTGCTCTGTTTACAACGGGCTCGCAGGGACCGGCAACATAACGCTTTTGCGCATGCGCAACTGTCTTGGCAGTACCGAAACGAGGCACCGTTTGAAATGACGTGAATCGGTGTTCGGTCGGTACTATGGAATTCGGTCGGTACCTTAAAAAGTACCGAATTCGGTACTCATCCCTACCGGTGGCGCCTGTGTTCGGCAGCCTCATCTCTGTCAGTGTGCCCCAGGGCAGCTGTGGCTACATTGTAGCTCATCTCCACCAGTGTGTGAATGATTGCTTGTGTTGTGAAGTACCTTGGGGGAGTTGTAGAACCCTAAGAAGGTGCTATACAAACACAGGCCATTTACGATTTTGTTGGGGTTTTTTTTCTGAATTTGGGAGAAATCAAGGGCACCACATTTCTTCTCAAGAGGGGGTAGAGGTGGTGGGAAAAGTCATAACTCAAATGTTTATTATTGAGATTATGTGAATTACCACAACTAAATGTAAAAAAAAGCCCCAAGTGGGACTGTATGCTCGCTTCAAGTGGTTGGCCTTTTCCAAACATATGCATGAATGAGATGGATGGCAGTAACTAACAGTATTTATGTGACCAAATGCTACTGGTCTAAGCCAACACACTGGCTAACTAGAGTCTTCCCAAACATTTTACTCCAGATAGTCAACAAGATCTTAATAAATTCATGCTGCATCCTTGTGTTGTGTTTTTTTTTTCTTGCTTCTTAAGATTTGCCTGCAGTTAGAGCTGCAACCAGGGCTGGGACAAAAATCAATTATTCGTATGAAAATTAACTCAATTGGTCTAGCCTCAATATATCGAGGTTAAGAAATGTACAATTCTATTATTATTATTATTATCATCATTATTATGTACTACCATTATTGATGTGCAGTTTTGGTAGTTGACACTGGTTAGGCCATTGTATTTACAGTTTTGGAGAGACATGGTCTACTTTGTTTTTTGTGCAATATTTTCTAACAGAGTGAAAGTCCTTTATTATTTATTTATGTTTTGTTCATTTTATTTTTTTATTTAGAAGTTCTGGTTCCGGACATTCTATTGTTAAATAAAGGTTTAATTGTTGCATTTTAAAGGGTGTATTTGAATTATTACGATATATTAACATTACATACATGGTTATTTTGGTCTCAATATTGTTGACAATAATATCATTTATCGTCAATAATTTCATAGACAATATATCGTCCAGCAAACAAAGTAGATGAGCTTGTTTCTTGCCTGTGTCGATTTATTTTATTTTTAAAGCAGATAGCCAAGTTTGCAATTCACTAAAAAAGCAGCACCTTTTTAGAATATTAAAGACAATAAATAAAAATAAATATTAAAATATAGAAATAAATATATAAAAAACATTAAATATTTCTACTAAATTTTACAGCTTGTAAATTTTATCAGCTGCACAAGTTTATCATCGTTTACGCATTAGGAAAATCTTGAGACCATGGTCTTCATAAGTAACTAAAGCAAATAAAACAGTCCACAATACCAAATTATGGTTGTACAGTTAAGATAAAAATGTCAACTTTTAAGCATTTGCAAGCATGAAATTTGGTTTCCTTACACATTAATGAGGGAAAATTACATTAAAATCTGTTTAATTAAAATTAGACTAAAATTATAGGTTGAATTATTGGAAATATGGCATAACGCACAGAAATACAGTATTTTGTTGCCACAGCTCTCCTTAAATTGAAAAGCTTAACTAAAAAATGTGAAATAATCTTGTAAAATGATTGGGAGGAACGGGTCGCATGTCCTTTTTAAAACATAAAGGTTACGTACCTAGAAACTGGCCTAGGTTTCAACGGGGAAGGTGCGTTTACGTGCTCACTACAATCCACAACAAAATACTGTAAAACCACCTGAAATACCTCACTGCCTTCAGCTGCTCACACACCTGGGAAAGCTGAAACTGTGTTGCACTTCTGATGAACTGACTTAACAACTTACTTCACAAAGATTCGCTATATGCAAATGTTTGTGATTTTTGCATCATGAACATTTTTGAGGCCCTTACCTTGTCCATCAGACGCTGATAGGGCAGGTGAATTCAGCTTCGGCCGCTTGGAGCTGGGAGGTCCGATATCCAGTAGGTTTTCAGCCATTGTTGCTTTCCAGTCAAACTGATCTTTCAGTTGTCAAGTTTAACTATCTTATGATAGGAAATGTAGATGTATCAGCCCAAGACTTCCCGGTTAGCACATTAGCAAGCTGGCTGCCTGCTAACGTTAGCTAACTGGCTAATTGCCTGCTACCAGCTCAGTTAACTGTTAGCAACTCCTTGCTGTTAAGAGTCAGCGTCTTTCAAAAGAGATGCAATAGCGCCCCGCTTCGCCACCGCCATTCACCCCATGATAATCCAACACCCAACACCCACATTATTATCATTAAATAACCCGAAATAAAAGGGTCCCCATGTAAAAACCGAGCTTTAAGGTGTCGATCTGGAATATTCAGGTGAATTTCTGCATTCCGGGGATAAAGTCGTAATTTCTAAATGTTCAAAGTAACCATTTTGCGTGACGTCAAATTTCTTCATGCAAAAATCGCGCGAAGCTCCACAAAAATGCACAATTGCACAAAAATGCAGAATTTTTGCAAATCACCTCGAAAGTCACGAGCTGATCTCCGCTTGCCCACGGTAAACAATACTGCTCCCGGACGGCGACAGGGGGCTGAAAATCGCCGCACTCAAGGGGAAATCAGATATACGGAGCTATTCTACCCGACGACCACCGATCCATATCCAGTTTTTTCGCACAAAATGTATCGGAAGCGACGTTAAGGTTCCGTTTTTGACAGAAGTTCGCTGTCATCGCCCGGTAAGGATGCTCTATTTTAACATAAAACCCAGTGTTGGATCGAAATCCCAATTCCGAGCCACGACAAGATGGCGGCTGTTGATTCCTTCGATACAAAAAAGTTTTTTTTTCCAGATCGACTGTGGAGGGGGAGGGGCCGCACAATCACGCCCTGCGTAAAAACACTACCGCTCTGAACCATTGGGGGCGGTCACGCAACATGCAAGTAATTGTCCTCCTCAACGTCTTCATTTTTCACAAACCATTTTACACAAAAATTACACGAATTTGACGATAAAATAAATTTAGAATTTCAAATATATAAATGCATTCAGATTGATTTCATACTGGATATTATTAAACCAAAAAAATTCATTTTGATTGTAAAATTCTAATTACTTGTTTGGTCCCATAAATATCAATTACTGTAACTATTAAGGACAGTAGGTCCCAAATTTAATCATCAGACAGCTAATATATATTTTTAAGCAATGCTAAATCATTTGTGTGCATAGTTTAACATGAACCAATTTTTTGTTTATTCTGCACATTGCACTTATTCTAAAACTGAGAAAAGGCTTAATATCATTTAATTCATGCTTATGAAGTCATAAAAAAGACACACATTCATGGTAGCATAAATATGTACAAACACTGAGTACTTTGTGCAAGTTTGTACATATCATCTTGTTTATAATTGGAGAAATTGCAAAAAAAAATCACATTCAGTCAGAAAAAACAAGCAAATACATTTCTAATTAAACTTTTGTTCCCAGTGTAGTTAATTGAAAAGGTATCTCGAAAGTTACATGAAAACATAGAGTCCCCATCTAAATGAATGATTAGGTCATATGGTTTAATTTCAACAAGCAATGAACAATGTTTGTGTTTTCTAAGAGGGAAAACATCATTTGGGTGCACTTGTTGAATTTGGGAAATTGTGACAAGAGCACATTTAGAATACAAATCTTATTTATGCAAAATATTCTGCAATTAAGATACTGTTCATGTCATTTTAAAGAGCAAGTCACCTCCAAATCAACTTTTTTCTGATAAACTATATAAATGCGTGTCTAATCGTGCTGCAGACACATGTAGTCAATAGTTTTGCACTTTAGTTAAAATTTTTTATTTTCTGCCTAAAACTGTCAGTGTTGTGCCTTTGTCAGGTAAAAACTCTGCACTGCATTTAAATTTAAATCTGCCATCGCTATTGGCTAAGAGGTACCCTAGAACGTTGGCTCTTTAAAGAAAAATACAACAAATGCCGTTACCTCTATAAAGAGCAAGTCACCCCCTACCAGAGTATTACTCCGCTCCCACTTCCTGTTTGAAAAATGCAACAAATGATGTTGCCTATAGCAGACCAAGAGGGCGGAGCCGCAAACAAATACACACACAGGCTCACAACGACATTGTGACATCATATGGTACCAGCTAACATTCTAGGGTACCTCTTAGCCAATAGCGATGGCAGATTTAAATTCAAATGCAGTGCAGAGTTTTTACCTGACAACAGCACAACAGGCAGAAAATTAAAATTTTAACTAAAATGCACTTAAGTGCAAAATTATTGACTACACGTGTCTGCAGCACGATTAGACACGCATTTATATAGTTTATCAGAAAAAATAAGTTGATTTGGGGGTGACTTGCTCTTTAAAGACACGTGTAATGCACATGCAAAAGAAAATTAAGAAATGTAGAAAACAATTAGCAGAAATGAAAGACTAGTGAATTATGGGTGGAATGACAAATGTTCTGCCAGAGGACAGATGACAGAGCCAGCAGTGTTCACTGTAATATTTTATTTGTGCCTGTGTACAGATGTGTGCGTGCCCATCAGTCCGTGGAGTCCAACTCATTCCTTTTACATGTTCTATGAATATTCTCTTCCAGTCCCATTCAGCCACACGGCCCAAAAGGATACTCACCCAAGAACATCTAGCAAGATAAAACACAATGTTGTTTTTTTTCTCAAACTTTACACCTGAAAACACAAGTGAGCCAAAAACAAAATATGGTAGAGGTAATTATTCTGGCCAGCACGGGAGGTCTCTCCTATCGGTTTCTGTCTCTAGCTACTATGACGTCTGCTGGAGATGATTCTTTGGATTTTCAGGATGTTTAGGGTTACATTACTACATACAATAATCACAGCTCACACACACTGATGGAAATGCTCAAAAATAAAAGGCACTTTTTTTATGTTCTGGATGCACAACAGTAGAGACGACTGAATGCTACACCAGGCATAAAAATAAAAATAAATCCCCTTTGTCGTTTTTATTTCTTTAAACATGGCCAAGCTTTCTCAACAGCTGATTATCTGTGCTAAATATCTGAATTAGACATGTTTAAAATCTTAGGCCATTTTTTCTCCTTTTCAAATAATGAAATGCAAAAATAATTTCTGTACAAAATGAGGCAGCAGCAGCAACAAACTGAGGGCTAAAGAGTGGCTTAGCTGAATGATTTCTTTTTGCACTTTTTTTTTGTGGTTGACTTTAAGACAAAGCTACAACACCCACAAACATACAGCACTTACACAGAGCCTACAAGACACAAACAAGTGCTTTCAGGACAAAATACAAAGCAAAAAGGTGATTTTGAAGTAAGCACAAATCATCCCCTTTTATCAGACACCTGGTTAATGTTGGGACGAAGAAAAACTTGCCAAGAAAAGAAAATACACAAAATCTGTCAAAAACAAAATTCCACACAAAACATTTCAGGAGCAGAATTTTCTCAAACATACAATCATAATCTATTCTCCTTTTAACAACATGATAAAAAAAACACTGAAATACTGGAAAATAAAAACAAATAGTCATTTTTTTAGGCACAACAAAACAATCATCTAGTTTAGGTTGCACTTCACCTACAGATCACTCTATTAAAGTGGCACAACATCGATACAGTAGAGGGCTGTGAACATCCCAACCCTTCAACAGAAAATCAAACAGCTAAAGGCAGACAACACGGAGAAAGAAGATACTGACTGACGTCTTTTGTACTAGTTTTTTTGTTTTCAGGTAATAAAGTTGAAAAATGGAGTATCATTTAAGTTTTTTTCCCTCCTCTGAGGTTTTACAAACAGTTTCACTAATTGATCTGAAGATGTGTGTGGACCACCCAATCACCTACCCAGAGCTACACCATGATTGTCTCTCACCGTCCTACTTCAAATTGCACTCCAGCCAAGATTACTTAGAGCTTTGAATTCTCGTCTCACTGTAGCCTTTAGTTTTCTCCCGAATTTGCATCAGATTAGCAAAGAACTTTGAGTATCAAACATAACTTGAGTAAATATAAAAAGGCAGTTTTCAAATAACGATTTGAGGGTAAAAACCCCATCCATCATTTTCCATCCACTTATCACGAGTCGGGTTGTGGCCTGAGCAGGAGGCCCAGACTTCCCTTTTCCCAGCCACTTGGGCCAGCTCTTCCAGGGGAATCCTAAGGAGTTCCTTGGCCAGCCGAGAAACATAGCCCCTCCAGCGTGTCCTGGGTCTTCCTTTAGGTCTCCTCAGTTGGATGTGCCGGGAGGCGTCCAAGAGGCATCCTAACTAGATGCCCGAGTGTGTGGAAGAGCAGCGGATCTACTTCAAGCTCCTCCTGGATGACCAAGTTTCTCACCCTATCTCTAAGGGAGTGCACTGAACCCCTGTGGAGAAAACTTATTTCGGCCACTTGTATCCACGATCTCGTTATTTCGGTCACTACCCAAAGCTGGTGACCACAGATTGTAGATTGACCGCTAAATCGAGAGCTTCACCTTTGAGCTCAGCAGTCTTCATCACGACAGGCCAGTATGATGCTCGCATCACTGCAGACGCAGCACCAATCCGCCTGTTCATCTTGCGTTCCAGCTTTCCCTCGCTCACGAACAAGACCCCGAGATACTTAAACTCCTCCACTTCAGGCAGGACCTCGTCCCTGACCTGGAGATGGCATTCCACCCTTTGCTATAAAAGACTATGGTCTCGGATTTAGTTGATGACCCCTACATTTAATAAGCGGTTTTAACACCTTTGATTGCATATTTGACAATGAATCTCACGCTGCTTCACTCACAACTTTCTTCTTTGTACAATTACAGGAAGTGTCTATGTCTAAGTCGCTACCACCACTATGTTTGACTCATGGCATGATGTTCTTTGTCAAAATGAAATGTTACGACACGCACACCTTTCAAAAAGTTCCACTGTTTCATCGTTGGTCTACAGAATGTTTTCCCTAAAGTCTGGGAGATCATGAAGATGTCTTCATTTTGGCAAATGAGACACGGGCCTTTGTTTTCTTTTTGGTCAGTAGAGGGTTTGACCTTGGAACTCTCCCACGATGCCATTTTCATCCTTAACTTGAACCAAGTGAGACATGCAGGGCTTTAAATGTTCTGGGTTCTTTTGCTGTTGATTTTTTAAACAATAGACATGTGGATATCTTTAAGCCTACTTGTCAGAAAGGTTCTACTGAGGCTAATTCTACGGGTTTGGCAGTAATCAGGTCTGTGTGTAGCTAGTCAAGCAGAACTCGGCTTTTCAAAAATGTTGACCCACCTGTATACCTAATGGGGTCAGATGGACCCCAGGTGTTTTTTTCTGACTTTTATTCCTTTTTCTCAGTTTTTTCACTAATCCAGATCTGGTGAGTCCTCCTGTGAGCGTTTGAAAGATATTTGTCCAAATTTTGCTCTTGCAGTCCCAGTGGGGTCCAATGGACACCATCTATGCTGTTTCGAGTTTGCTTTCCTTTCTCTCACTTTCTTGACCAATCCTGCTGCAGCAAGTTCTTGTTTTAGCTTAAATGTGGTGTTTGTTGTTTCTTTCCTTTTTTCCCCCCAACTCAGTCGGGTTCGTAATGGGGTCCAATAGACCCCAGGATTATTTTTTGTTTGTTTTTTCGATTTTTGAGGAGCGAGCACCACCACCTGCCACATGGACCCCAAGAGATAATCCGTCAACCCCACTCAACCATCTCCTGCCTGGAGCGGTCACCCGATAGGACAGCAAGAAGGTTATTAACATTTAATTAATTATTTAGGAAGGAGGAAGAATAATTTTTTACACAGGAACAAGTTAGATCCAATAGCCTTTTCCCAAACAAATTCAATCATCGTTTGAAAACTGCAATTGGTATTTACTCAGGTTATCATTGTCACACAAAACAGCAAAAACGGGGAAAAATTGTTCTTTTAACACAGACATTTTGCAAATGCTGAAACGTAAAGTTCTGATTTCCATCTTTCTGCTTCAGGATACAGGAGGTGAGTGTTACATACTCAAAAGACAGATGTTGGTAGAACTTTAATTAAATCTAAAGTGCCTTCCTTCTTTCCAAATGGTGTTACTAAATTTTTTTTTTCTAATTTCCTCCAGATCTATATTCCTTTTGTGATTTTGTGCCTTTAAATGTACAAAACTTTCTTTAAAAGTTTCTTTATAAGCAATGAAGCGGTAATAGCTACTAAATACAAGTGGTTGAGGAAAAAATTAAATACACTGTGCAAGAGCTGTGCTTAAAATGTGCATTTAGCTGCTATATCAGCTAAATTATAAGCAGGCTGCTTTGTAGCATGTCCCCTTGAAAGTGAATCTCTGGCATAAAGGAATACTGTATTTAGGCTGTTGTGTCAAAGCGGAATGCATAAATTAACACTGCATTGTGTAGTTCCCTCATTTTTCCATGATTTCCTTTTCAGCCCATCATACTGCATTGGCACTCATAAAATAAATTCTAAAATGTTTTTTCCCCTTAAGAACATGAATGGCACAACAGTAATGGTTTATAAAGGAATACTTGAATTCAAAATAAAAGCGTTGCGTAAGAAACCACAGCATAGCCTTAAAACTTGTTCAGTATTCTTATTTTTTTTGTTCATTGTTCTAGTCCTGAAGGCACTTCATTAAAAAAAAAAAAAAAGGAAAATACATAAAGATTTAAAGAATTGTCCCTCTTTTCCCTTGTTTCATCATTAGAAAATGCTGTGTTCAACACAGGTCCAAGACACCCCAGCACTCCAGTAAAAGATATTAGTTGCCATTTTAAAGCCACTGAAGCCATGGTTCGTGTTAAAATCGTTCACTTTTTCTTCTTTCACCTCAAAGATGTTTCACCTTAAAGAAGGGATATCCTGCCCACATCTGTAATCGGCTCTGGAGAAGTAGCAGCTATGCGTAGGAGGGGAGTATGAGACAGAGGAAGGTACGATTAGGGATCAGAGACGAGCATAAAACTCCTCGTTGAGTCTTGTAAGCTCATTGGACTCTTCCTCTTCCTCATCTTGAAGTGCGAGAGGAGCGGGGTGCACCTGGGGGGGCGTTTCTGGGCCAGGCACAGGGTGCGGGTGAATGTCTGTGTCAGGGGATTTCCCTGGCAGTTGTGCAGCGTCCCTGTATCCTTCATCCCTCGCCTCTGTACACTTAGCTGGGCCAGGGGGAAGCCTTGCACCTGGAGGCCTTACAGTGCTTTCGGGTTGAGGGGAAGGGCTGGAAATAAATCCAGATGAAGGATTGGAAACAGAAGCCGAAGTCTTATTGGCAGGTAACGGCACATGAAAGGGTCCAGGTCCAGCTGCCAGCTCTGTTCGACCCTCGCATGCATTTTCCCCACTTTTGGGGTAGAGATAGGTCCTCATTTGACCTTTTCCCTTAACATTGACTGTGCCTCTGTAGTCAAACTCTAACCCCATGGCCCTGAGCACAGCATGGCTCTCCTCGCTCACCTGCACCCGACACTCCACACCTGTGGAGTCCATTCGACTGGCTATGTTGACTGTGTCCCCCCAGATGTCATAAAACAGCTTTGTGGTGCCAATCACCCCTGCTGTCAGGGGCCCATGGTTAAATCCAATACGTAGCTTGAAACCAAAGCCAAGCATGTTCTTGTTGAAATCATCCAGGACACCCATCATCTCCAGGGCAAAGTTGAAAAGTGCCCTCAAGTGAGCGTGCGGAGAATCATCATCATCCTCGGCCATCTGCTGGACGTTCAATCCTGACGCTGCCATATACGTGGAACCGATGGTCTTGATTTTTTCCACACTTCTGAACTCTGGCTTCCGGAGGAGGTCGTCGAAGTCTCCAATTAGCTCGTTGAGAACACGATAGCACTCTTTTCCTCCCTCGTAGCTCTCTTCGTAGAACTCACTGAAATTGACGATGCTGGCGAAGATCACACCCACACTGTCGTGGTTCTTGGAGTAACTCTGGGTCAGCTGGTTAAAACAGAGGAAACAGCATTGCAAAAAGCTCGTCCAATTTCCAAATCAACACTAAGGGCAACTTCTCATCAAACAATAAAGGCAATAACATCAAAACTAGGGATGTACAACATAGCGATGCACTGGAAGATCGTGATACTTTATGTTATAAAACTGAATCCATATTTAAAAACAGTGTTTGCTGTATTTCCTTTGTGTGGTGCAACTCATACTCCGACTGCCAGATTGCAGAAGTTTTTACCACTTTCATTCTGACAAAACAACATGACCTCACAATAATGTTGGATGTGTCTTTGAAGTGTCTGGCTCGAATTTTCTAATTAAATTCTGTCTTAAATGTTGCAAAATGTCCCTGGCTTTTAGTATCGCAATATATCTTATCAGTCCCTCTGTAAAAAAAATATATATATGTATCGTAGCACCATATTCTTGCCAATACACACCCCTAATCAAAACCAATAACTTCTGTAAATGCTGAATAAAATCTGATATTTGTGTCAACCTTGAGCTGGTCAGCGACATGTATGGGGATGATGTTGTCCAGTAACCACTCAGCCTGGTCCCTCATCATCTGGATATTGGAGCGGTGCTCGTCAGCCTCCACATTGCCATGGTAATGGAGACGGTAGCTGACCTCAAATTCACGATTCAGGAACCAGACCAGGAGGAGAAGCAAAAAAAAGGCCAGGGTAGCCTCTGGGATCAAAACATCAAAAAGTGTTGGAGATCTAGGGCTGGATTCTGGACCACCTTGGTTCAACATTGAGGTGTTCCACCTGAGGGAGAAAGCAGAGCGAGAGTCAAGAGGGAAATGTAAACTTATTATAAGAGAAAAAGCCATAAAAGACGGATTTCATTCAGAAGATCAATATACTTTTCAAATGATCAATAAAACCCTTGGAAATAACATTGCTGCAATGATAATTATTCATGGAAATGCATTTTCTATTTACAACAACTGCAGTACATGTTTGATTAAAAATCTTCTAAGATAATGAAACCAAAAATTATATTAGTCAATAAAATTGCAACTGCACACCTGTCACATAAAACAGGGACACCAATGTTGAAAGCATGGTGGAGGCACCTTCATGGTTTGGTGCTAGTTTGTTACCTCATGATAAAGATGCCTTGTATTTAATTTAAACTTATGAGGAGAGATTGTTCTTACAAAGAACAGAGAAAAAAGACAACAAATCAATGCAAATAAATAAATATAATAATCACTCAAAAAATAATACATTATCGAAATAAAAATGTTCATCATAGCACAAAGGTCAAAGACCATCGAGCCTTGAACACACCAGTTACGACAGTTTCCCATACACATTAGAAACCAAACAGTATTTTTTTCCCAGTGTCCCTCAGAGGACTCTTTACGAGACACCTTAAAAATATCTTAAAATAAAAAAAAAACAAGTTCATCAAGGTTTTCTATTTCTTTATGTTGAACACAAAAGATTAAACTTGATGTAAACAACCAAACTGTTACTAGTTTACTCAGATTGTGTTAGACCGAATCGTTTATCCAAGGAACTGAAAGGTTTTGTACTCCCTGATCAATCACTAAATATAAAAAAGACAGAATATTATGATAGCTTAAATGATCTGAAACTAGATATGCACAGAAAATTTACGGACGAAAATGATAAAAAGTACATTCATACTGATTTCAAAAGTAAACTTTTTCTCTTTTTATAGATTTTTTATTACGATCATTGTTTTAATTCAGGACTATTTTGTTTTGAGCGTAATGAGAAAGTAATGTACCTCTCACATGATGGTTTTAGACCAACTTTTACCAGGCCGTATACGCATTCAGTAAACAGAAATCCAACATGGCGGTGTACTCGGAGTTCGAAAAAAAGCTGCGATTATGATTTTAATACTATAAAAACTTCTGAATTCATGAATAAAAATGATTTTTATGGAAACGTGGAGGTGCAACACGTGCAACGTAACACTTTGTCCTTGCTGCTACTCTCCGAATCCATGTTGTCTGCACAAGCGCTCACAGTGAGAGACTTCTGTGCTTCAGATCATGTCCTCGATGAGAAGAGGAACAGACTTTTGTGACAAAGCAGTAGTCCTACACAGAAACATTTAAAAGGTGCTTGAAACTTAGTGATTTTATTAGAGGACATTTTATTTTACAGTCTGTCTCAGCAGGCCTTTCAGTAATCAGCCCGTACACCAGTGGGGCCAAGTGAAACATTTTATTTTGAGTTTTAATTTTTATTGTGCATTGTTGTTATGTCAGTGCTGAATAAATAGTTTCATGGTTTTGTAATTGATTTATTGCAATGCCTTGATTTTAGTGAGGTTAGCATAAATCATAGCAATAAATGCTTGAATCTGCACCGAAGGGCCTTGAGTGTCTGTTAGTGCTTGTTTTTGTCTTCTTAAACTTTTGCTTTTCACTATCTTCCATTGGGAAAGAGAAGTAAACTCATCTGTGGGTTATCCTGTTGTCTAGTAGCTCCGGTTTGGGCCAAATGAAAACAATAAGTGCAATCAGGGGCTGTGAACGAGCTGTTTCTCCCCTCCCTGAAAATACTCATCAGGTGCTCTAGGTCTCAACCATTGTAATCAGCTGCTGCACGAACACCTGTTTCCAACTAGTAGCACAGCATAAGTTTGGTGGCATAACTGAAGCGTCAGCTCTTGTGTCTCAGCCCCTCCGGGGTAAAGACATACGTGTCTACCTGCGCGTGTCCACAGAGCAGGTACACAGAGCAAACAAACTCAACCCAGACGCTGCTCCATCGACACCTTGCAAAATGTGCCATTATCCTATACCTGTGATCACTGACTTCAGAGTAAGGTCACACACAGCAAACCACTTTCGCAACCTTCAAAACCTCTGCTCGCTAAAACCAACTCCCCCCGAAGACACCCACCTGTCTATGGGACTTTGGAACCGCCAATCAGCTGTAAACAAAGCAGACTTCATTACCGCATATGCAAACCACCTGTCACTCGATGCAATGGCTCTCACTGAGACCTGGATCAAACCATGTGACAATGCTACCCCATCTGCTCTCTCAATTAACCGCACTTTCTCCCACATTTCACGTGCATCTGGCCGAGGTGGTGGAACGGGCATGTTAATTTCCAACAAATGGAACAGTTGCTACCCATCACTAAATACAACTCCTTTGAATACCATGCCATCCAGGTAACTGTACCGAAAAAATTCTTTTTGGTTGTCATATATCGCCAACCAGGTCAACTCATAGACTTTCTTGGTGAACTCGACACCCTGCTCTCCTCCATTCCTGAGCAGGAATGTCCCACAATGGTCCTTGGAGACATGAATATTCACCTGGACAATCCCAGCTCATCAGGCTTCCTGTCACTAATGTCATCATTTGATCTAAATAGTACAAAGTCCTTCAACTCACAAAGCTGGAAAAGCACTTGACCTCATTTTCACCAGAAACTGTGCCATAAACACAATCTCTGTCACACCGCTGCATCCTTCCGATCATTACTTCATCCATTTCAGCACGGCTCTACAAGGGAGGTCCACTGCTTCCTCCCCAATGGTCTCATTCTGCCGCAACCTCCGCAATCTGGCACCCAACCACTTCTCCTCCCTTGTTGCCTCCACTCTTCCACCTCCCAGCACATTCTCTGCTTGTGAAGTGAATGAAGCCATCGAGTCACTCTGCTCCACACTCTGCTCTTGTCTCAACAACTTGTGCCCTTTAGCCACTAGACCTGCTAGATCCTCTCAGTCGCGCCCTTGGCTAAATGATACCCTCCGGTCTCTACGCACCAATCTTAGAGCTGCGGAACGGAAATGGCACAAAACAAAAGATCCTGGAGATCAATTGAAATTTCATGAATTACTGTCCTCATTCTCTGCCAGCATCACTGATGCAAAGAAAGCTTTCTACACTGACAAAATTCTCAGCTCTACTGACTCTCAGAAACTATTTTCGACATTCAAAACTCTGCTCAACCCTCCGTCTCCACCTCCCACCCACAATCTATCAGCTGACACCTTTGCCTCATTCTTCACTGATAAAAGTGGCAGCTATAAGCAAACAGTTTACTCAACTGGCCACTCCTGAACATTCGCTACCACAAACTCCTTCAAGCCCAACCATCTCAAGCACTACTGCTTCATTTTCCTCTTTTTACCCTCTCACTGAGAACTGTGTGTCCAAGCATCTCACATGCAGCCGCCCTACTACATGCCCACTCGACCCCATTCCGACTAAGCTGCTCCAAGCTATTGCTCCTACAGTAGCCGCAGCAGTCACACATGTGATCAACGCTTCACTGACATCCGGTACATTTTCCACCTCTCTCAAGCATGCTCAGGTTAAACCGCTGCTAAAAAAAACATCTCTTCCACCAAATCGTATGGAGAACTACCGACCTATCTCTCTCCTCCCTTTTCTGTCCAAAATCATTGAAAGGGTGGCTTTCAAGCAGATCACAGAATACCTCTCACAAAACTGTCTGCTTGACCCTTACCAATCTGGGTTCAAAAAGGGCCACTCCACTGAAACTGCTCTGTTAGCAGTGACAGAATTCTTAAAAGAAGCTAGAGCGACTGCCAAATCCTGTGAGCTTATCCTGCTCGACTTATCGCTGCATTTGACACTGTCAACCATGGCTTCCTTTTGTCCACTCTATCTAGCATGGACATCACAGAGAAAGCACACGCCTGGTTTGAATCGTACCTCACAGGACGATCATTCAGTGTATCTTGCCTTGGACAATCCTCTACCATGCACCATTTTGCCACAGGAGTCCCCCAGGGCTCTGTACTAGGACCTCTTCTCTTTGCCATATACACCATATCACTGGGTGAGATCATTCGATCACATGGCTTCTCCTACCACTGCTATTCAGACGACACCCAGCTCTAGCTGTCATTTCCACCGGACGACCACACTGTCTCTGCACGAATTTCAAACTGTCTCTCTGACATCTCAAAATGGATGAAATCCCACCATCTCCAACTCAGCCTCTCTAAAACTGAACTACTTGTCATCCCAGCAAAACCATCCGTACAGCAAAATATCTCAATCCAAAATGACTTCCTATCTCTGACTCCTTCAAAGGCAGTTCGAAATCTGGGTGTTGTGATAGATGAACACCTGACCTTTAAAGATCATGTTGCCTCTGTTGCTCGTTCATGCAGCTTTGCGCTGTATAACAAACGAAAGATCAGACCATACCTAACACAACATGCCACCCAGCTCCTCGTGCAATCTACTGTCATCTCCCGCCTCAATTACTGCAACACCCTTCTAACTGGTCTTCCAGGCTGTACTGTGAGACATCTTCAAATGGTCCAGAACGCAGCAGCGAGTCTGGTCTTCAATCAGCCAAAAAGAGCACATGTCACCCCTCTACTCATTGAGCTCCACTGGCTACTGCTAGCAGCACGCATCAAATTCAAATTGCTAACACTAGCATACAAAGTCCGAGATGGTACAGCTCCCATCTACCTGAATCCTCTTGCAAAGGCTTACGTCTCGGCCCGGCCGCTCCGGTCATCACAAAATCGTCGGCTAGCAGTGCCTACACCCCGCTCAGGACAATCCAGGCTCTTCTCATTCATCGTTCCACAAATGTGGAATAACCTACCAAGCACTACCAGAACAGGGGCTTACTTTTCAACTTTCAAGAAACTCCTGAAGACCCTGCTCTTCAGAGAGCATCTTCTAAACTAGCACCCTGCCTGCACCCATCCACCCTCTCTACTGTCCACTCCTTGTTCCCTCCTCTCCATGATTGATGTCAATGTTGTTGTTATTTTTGTTGTTAGCCTCAACGGCAACATACCGATAATCACTTGCAAGGTGCTTTGGACAAAAGCGTCTGCTAAATTCATAAACATAAAACATAAACATTCTAATTATTGACATAATTGTTTCTTTCAGTGTTTCGGGTTTCGGCCTTGGTTTACTCATTTTCGATTTCAGCCAAGAATTTTCATTTTGATGCATCGCTATATAAAACCGTATACATGACTGTGGTTAAATCAAATCAAAGATACTTTATTAATCCCAGAGGGAAATTAGAGTTTCAGTACACACAATTCAGAGATCAGACATACATGGGCAAGACACATGACAAGAATTGGTGACTGTGGTCATTCGCAACCCTGAGTCGCGCTACCTTTTTGCTTTGGCTGCCAAAATGTCTTGAAACGGCCCTGGGTGTGTGACTGAGTTTTGAAGGTGATCTGAATTGTATCAGATGTGTAAATATTACATGTGTATAACTTATTGTTTTATACAGATAAAAAAGTGTAGCGGAGATAAATCTACCTACATTTTACTTTTCAACACTTTGTTTTGTTTTCTTGTTTTTATTAAACTATTTTCCTGTCCTGTCTGTCTCTCATCTTCCTGCATCTCCTCTTAATTCACCAGAAAAACTGCTGCCCGGATTCTTACTTTTTCACCTCATCTTTTGAGCAGATTAAAGGGATCTCCTGACCGTAAAGCGGAGAGCGCGTTTCGATGCTGCGTCAGTGAGGTGAAATCACCACAGCACAGGTGACGAGCTCAGCAGTAGCAGAGTGCTTCAGGCACAAATAAGACAGAAAGTAGAGAACATGTGCACACATGAACAATTGTGTGCTAATTATAGTTTTTTGTTGCGCCACTTTGAGAATGGACTGTGCGCTGGACGCAGCAGCCTGGAGCACTGCGCAACAACGATCAGCGCTGTGCCGCTCTCTGCTCAAAAGAGTCCATAAATGAGGTAACATAGGTAGAAAACTTTTTCCGGCTCCCCTGGATGTGTAGGATATACAGCTCCCCCATCCCTGCCCCTGGATGAAAAGCCGGACATTTTCATCAATACAAGAACCCCCAGTCCGGACGCCCCGGACAGAGTGAAAAGTGGACATGTCCGGAGAAAAGAGGACGTGCGGTCACACTAGTTTAATATAAAGCGGGAAATTGCAGATACAGAATTTTGCTCGTGCCCTTGCTGCCCTGAGCCCTTTAGAGTTTGTGGGCCCTGGGCAATTGCCCAGTTGCCCATATGGTTAATCCGGCCTTGCCTGTGGGCAGCAGTGAGCTGCAGCAGCGGCTGGGCTTGGGAACTATATCAAATCAAAGACACTTTATTAATCCCAGAAGGAAATTATGGTGGTTTAACCCACCAATCCGACCTCTTAAAGCTGAGTGTCAAGCAGAGAGGCATTGGGTCCCATTTTTAAAGTCTTTGCTATAACTCGACCAGATTTGAACCCCAATTTCCCAGTCCCAGGGTGGACACTCATACCATTAGGCCACTGAGAAGCAAGATCTAATAATAAATGTTCAAATTTTTACTGAAGGACCCACTGAATAAAGAACAACTTGTGAAATTAATTAAAGCTAAGTTGTGTCTCTAACACAGAAATTCCAGCCAGCAAAGGCTGAATGAGTCATTTGAACCACTTGAGGCATTTAGCAGGCTTTACTACAGAGGGAAAGAGGGAGAGAAACTGATAGCAAAATAAACAGCAGAAAAGTCAGGGAATGAACAAAAGCTGCACAGAGCTGTAGTTATGAGAAATATAAAACAACCATCGCTCCTGTTGACCCTTCAAATGTCATTCATCAATCAAAGCTCTCTGTTTCTATGGAGACACTCACCCATGAACCGGCACGCTGTTATTACTTGAGCTGAAAGAGATGAGAGCGATGTCAGTCAGGAGAAAGGACGGGTCACAGACGCTTTTTCACTTCCTTCACAGCAGGTGCTCTAGAGAACGCTGTTAAGTGACTTCATGCTTAAGATCAATGACATGTTTAGTAGATTCCCATTAAACTGACGTTCAAATAATGCTTAAACACCCCTAAATCACTTATGTAATGCCTACAAATGACTCCTCTTCTATTTCTTTGTCACTTATTTGCCAAGTATAAATGCAGAGGCGATCATTCCCACCTGTACCTGTGCAAGGGGCCGTATAACAGCAGCAGCAGGGCAACTCCTGTGGTGGTGGCAAAGATAGAGCGCATCCAAAAACTAAGCTGACTGAAGTTACAAAACTGAATGATGGCCAGGATGGTGGCGCAGCACAGGAACATGGTTACCTGGAGGTAAAAAGAAAGATTATTATTGCTTTTCAACTAAAGGCATCGGCACGTGTTAATGTGACTTTTATGTTCATGTTATTAGATAAATCAGGAACATTTGATATATACTTTTCTGCACCAAAGTTCAGGAATATTGAAACCATGACCCCACATATCACAGGCCAACTGTCAGCCTAGTAAATAAAAACATCAAGACCCAAGGCAATTTTCTAATTGTCCCTTCAGATTATTTCCTTCTGCAGGATGTTTTTATTTCACTTCTTTTGCAATTTTTCTTTTTTATTTGTTGAGCCAACACTTCTAATATAACAGTCCTTTCTACAAATGCTGAGTTTGTGTTGAAACAAGGTTCATAAACCTAGTAAAGGTTTGGAGACTTTTTAAGGTTACTCAAGTTTGTGATGAGAAACTCGGCAGTTCTGGACTTTCTGGATCTTTCTTTGAAGTGGGCATTCACTCTTTACTTCATTTATGTGCTGTACTCTCTAGTGTGAATGAATATTCTGGTGCTCCTGTTTCAGGAAGTAGAAGTTAGCAGGAGAAGTGGTAAAATGGCAGGATTTAAAGTCCTACTAGTCATGATATGTGAACATCTTGCCTCTGATTTGCTAACAGCAATGTGACTCTTCCACTGCCTCCATTCACTTTTCTTTCTTGAGTAAAAAAAAATGCAACATTGATGTTTTAGCTTCAAAAATGACTCAAGCCTGAAGGAATTCTACCATGGTGTGGAGTTGCTAATGCTAACGGTTAGCTTCTACTAGCAAAGACAAGCTCTGCTCTCTCCTGGCCACTAAATCAACAACAGCCCTCTGCAGTCGAAACCTAAGATGAGTGAATCCATGAATGCTAATTTTCAGTGTGACGTAGATCTGAGTGGCTTTTTCCCACCTGAGCAATTCCTCCTTTACTTTCTTTTGGTGGCTAATCCTGGAAACGGGTAGAAGACTGTTTTCACATTCAGCATGCATTTAAAACTCAGCGTGACCAATCGAACTTGAGTATCAAGTTCTTAGTTGCAGTTCGTAATGAATCTTCCGCTTTAAGCTACATAAAGACATGAGGAGGGATTTGGACTCCAATCAGATCAGATCATCACATAAAATATTTACTGTAACTGAAATAGGCCCAATTTTAAAAAGTGTCCAAAAAGCAACATTTTATGTATAATATTGATATCACGTGTAAATCATAATAATTATGAAGCCCTGAAGAATCTGAAAGAGAGGAGAGGAGAGGAGAGGAGAATGGATGGAGTAATTGAGTTTTTGAAAAAAGATATAAAAACACCAAACATCTTGTGACCAGCTGTTGGCTCCAAGCTGGATGGCGAGACTCAGGCTCGTTGAGAATCGGATGAAGGTGTTCACTCAAAAAAAAAGGAGACTCGTCCTCATTAAGAACTCCTGTTTGTGGCAAATATTTTGAGAAGTATAGAATAATCCCACGCACAAGGCCAAGGAATCACTTACACGTCGAGTGTTTAAGAAGCATTTCTCAGCTGAGTCGATTGTAGTCTCAAACCCTTTCAACTAAAAGTTTACCTGAGGGGTAAGGTGGACGCCAACATGTGACAGGACAGAGATGGCAGGAAGGGAGACCAACACGGCCCCGATCACATGACGAGACACCCAGCCGGAGACAAAGAGGACCATTGAGCGAGTACAGGTCATCAGCTCATCCAAATAAAAGGTCATGCTGCAGGAAAGGAGCAGAGAGGAGGACGCTAGATGAGGAGGCGGCAGGAGAAAAGTCTTCAGCAGATTAACTCAGCTTCTCATAAGTGCAGCAGACTCTTGTTGGAGCTCAATCAGCACAATTTGTTAAAACAACACCGCGGTCTAAGTTGCAGCAAAATCATGACGATTTATCGTCTCATCTAGATACGTGAAAAAGTGAAAATTCATTTATAAACGTTCTGAAAACACACTTGTTTAACACAACTGCACGTTTTCTGCACATTGAGCACAGGAAAGCATAAACAAGAGGAGTTTTTTAAGGTCTGGAACTGAAGCTGCACAAATATGTCTTTGTGCCAGCTTGGGAGCCACTACTGATATTTCTCATGAAACTGGACGCGATCCAGTCAGATCTGACCAGGGAGATTAATCCACTGCAGACTGGGAGCCAAAGAAAATATAAGAAACATGAAATCTCTTCTGCCTGTTTAAACAGAGAACTAGAGTGGTCTGCCATTAGTTACTTTTAGTTTTTTTTAATTCTGTGACTCCGATGCCCAGGAGAAACAGAATTAAACACAAAGGCAGTCAACTTGTAGACTTGCATATTTCCATCCATCCAGCCATTATCATCTGCTTATCCAGGGTCGGGTCACAGGGGCAGCAGCCTAAGCATGGAGGCCCAGACTTCCCTCTCCCCAGCCACTTGGGCCAGCTCCTCCAGGGAATCCCAAGGTGTTCCCTGGCCAGCTGAGAGACATAGTCCCTCCAGCGTGTCCCGGGTCTTCCCTTGGGTCTCCTCCTGGTTAGACGTACATGGAAAACCTCACCAGGGAGGCATCCAGGAGGCATCCCAACCACATCCGAGCCACCTCAACTGGCTCTTTTTGATGAACTGGAAAAACGTTCTGACTCATTTGTTTCATAAAATGAAAGTTTGAAATGATGAATATATCATGTTATAGAAACATGATTTATTAGTATTTCTCACCGTATGGAGAGCACCAGTGAGGCCAATTCCAACAGCCCAGCTATGGGAGCCAGGATCAGGGCAGCGAGTGCTGGGGAGCCCACATTAGCCAGAGAGGGAAGGAAGCAGGCCAGGGTCAGGGCCACGAAGACAAAACCGTTGAGTAGAACATCCAAAAAGGAGCTGAAGGTGGGGCTCGCAAAGGTCTGCACTTGAACTTTGTTCTTCACCTGCAGGGAAACAGTTCAGTGAAAACGAATCAAACGCAATGACAAAACGAACCCTAAAAACTTTATTGGTATTCTTTTCTTCAGTGTGCTACAATAAAAGGAAAAAACGAATCAACATGAATGACTCAGTGACTCAGAGTTCAGAAACGGAGTGAAAGACATGATTCTCTGAGCAGAAAAAGGCAAAACAACATAAAACGTGTTTTTTTAGCCTGCAGTACCAAAGATGTACCAGCAGGAGGCTGAACAACCTCTGGGGTCAGTGCAGGACAACTGAAAATGTGACTGAGAGAAAGTGTTTGCTCAAGAATAAAATAAAAAAAATCGATTTTACTTTTTTCCCCGCCGTTGTCTCAAAAGACATCGTCGCAAGTTTCAATAAAGTACAAGAAATCTACGTGGAGTTATTTTAAAATCAGTACAGGAAGTGAAAGAAGTTCTAGATTAGTACAGGAACACAACAGTGTTCGTGTTTGCACACCTCCTCCATGTAGCTGCTGCGATAGGCCTTTTCCAGAGGTCTCTCCAGAAAGTTGAGGCTGATCTTGTTAATTGGAGGCTTGAAGAAATAGTCCTTCAGGCTAGATCCAGAGATAAACAAAATGGAACAAAAAAGGATGAAGATATTTTACACCAGTTATAAAACCATAAAAAAATAAAAACGAGTTTTAATGTGTAACAATGTATTAAAAACAGCTGTGCATCAAAAAGTAGAAGTCCTTACACGAACTTTAAATTTTATTAATGTCCATCTTGAGTATAAAGGTTTCTTCCTGGTTGAGACATTTTTGATAAAACGTTATTCATAAACAAATGGACTCTCTAAAAGTCCCAATCCAACATAATCATCCGTAGCCAACAATATCAGCTCATAAACTCCACTTTTGACCTTTTAGCTCACCTGTCCTCCCTGATAACTTTCACAAAGTGAGCGTCGCTCTTCTCCTTGAAGTTCTTGGCTCGTAGCTGGATGAGGGCAGAATGATCCATGCCTGTACCAGCTGCAGCACCTGCGGACATGCCAAGGCTGGTGCCAGTTCCGGTGCTTGTGCTGGTTTTCTTCTCCTTCTCCTGGAGGATGTCACACAGAGAACTCTGGCTGGCACGCACCAGCTCCAGCGGGGGGCTCAGGAGGCCGTTGACTGCTGGGCTGTGGCCCGGGATGAACTTCATGAGGAGATGAAGGGGATAAAGGAAAGAAAAAGAGACAGAAATTAACCCTTTGATGCATGAATTATGAAATCTTCAACCATGATTTTTTTAACAATTTTTTTCATTCATCTTTAAGTGTGAATGAAACAAATTTCAACAAATATTTTTTGTAAAATTTTATAATTTACAAATAATTTATTACATGTCCACCTCAGTGGACAGCGTGCATTCTGAACATGAAATATGTTGGCTTGGCTTACTGAAGTCCAAATGGAGGGGCTCAAATGCAATAAAGTCTTCAACAGCTGTGCTTAATAGCAAAAACAAATAAATAACAATTTTGAGTACCTGTCCACTGTAGTGACCATTATGCACCAAAGGGTTAAAGGATGGACACCAAGTGTGTTTCCTTGCAGGATGGGTTGTATGGAGTAATTCTGAGAGGTGTGCATCTTAACTGCTCGAAGAATAATCTCAATTTTGTATAAAAAATGTAAAACATTATAATTATTTGTTCAACCAAACACCATCCATGTTGTGCAAACTGTGTGCTTAATAGATGTTCTACCTCTACGATATATCTATACGATATAATCCATCTCATTTTCTGCCTAGTTTAAATTTTGCTTTGAGATTGACGATGAACTACCCATCCAAGTGACAGGCAGAGCTTACCCCGGCTTTCCACTGGATGCCTCATCATCGTGTAACGTCCGCAAAGCACAATACACAGCTGATAGTCAATGGGTGTGTTTCCACCAGGCATGGAGAAGCTTAGATGCAGCTCAGATGCGTAGGATAGCGTCGCTCCGAAAAATGCATGCTTTGGGTCTATTTATTACGTGCTACACTTCCAGAAGGCAAGAAATGGTAAATTGGTAAATGGCCTATATTTGATATAGCGCCTTCTAGAGTCCTAGAACCCCCCCAACGCGCTTTACAACACAGTTATTCACTCATGCACACACACATTCACACCCTGGTAGTGATGAGCTACGATGTAGCTACAGCTGCCCTGAGGAGCAATGAAGAGGTGAGGCTGCCGAGAACAGGCGCCACCAGTCCCTCCGACCACCACCAGCAGGCAATGTGGGTTAAGTGTCTTGCCCAAGAACACAAGAGCAGCATTCTCTGCCGGCAGCCGGGATCAATCCTACAACCCTCCCTTTACAGGACAACCCGCGCTACCTCCTGAGCTACTGCAAGTTCGGCCAGTTAGATCAGCACAGGTAATCAGACACGGGAGCAGTGCAAAACATCTGTCAACTTTCAAAATAAAAGATGTGCAGATTTTGTATTGCTTAACTTGTAAAAAAGTGAAATGTTATCTATGATACCTCCTTGTCGGAGGTAAAAAAAAACATTAAATAAACCACAGACCTTTAGTATACATGCTGCAATCATTATTACTTGTTACTGTGTGAACTAGACGCTGACACTCAGCTGCCACTGCGACGGGAACCCAGATAGGAGGAAGAAGACAAGAAGAGACGAGACGTGTTTACCATCTCCGACCGCTGAAGCCGGGCTCCGCCATCAGCCGCCAGGCCCAGCAGCCGGGCTCCACCGGCAGCCTCCTGGACCAGCAGCCGGGCTCCACCGCCGGCCTCCGGGCCTAGCAGCCAGGTACTGTCACCGACCTTCGAGTCTGGCAGCCAGGATCCACCATCAGCTACCAGGACCTGTTTCTTGGCTCATCTACGCTAAGCCTGGCTACACAGAAAATCTCAACAAAAGCTAAGTGAACTTTTTTTATATCTGGCCACAAAAATGGCAATGAAAGTACTACAGAAAGATATGGAGGAGTTAAAGGATTCTGTGAGCATGATGACAGCTGAGTTGTCAACTTTGACAAAACAGCAAGCCTGCATTAAGGACTTACTTACTGAGATTAAAGATCTTAAAATGAGAAATATGGAACAAGAAAGGAAAATTGACTTGCTCGAAAATCGAGTGGCAGAGCTGGAACAGCATTCAAGAATGAATGATAACTCAAAAATTCTGGTGGTTCCGAGACAAGCTGCATAGAAACTGCCCATCTGAAACCATACGGGTAGGAAGGGATGCACTGCGTCTATTACGTTATACGTCGCTTACACATCCGTTGGAAAGCCCAGGTAAGACTTTCAAAGGGAGATAATTAGCAGCCACCGCACACATCTCATGAATCGTGCAATCCATAAATGCATGTGCCGATCAGACCAAAACTCAGAGCCCACATTCCTGTGAATCGGTATCAACATTGGCTTCATTTGAAAACACTGTCTAGATCTTAGCATTCTTGCACCTTTCATGCAATTTTAAAAGCTAGTTTCGAACTGCAGCTGTTACTAAATATTTAAACGAGTCATTGGGGAGTATTTCTTCAAAAACTTTGGCGCTGTGTTCTGAATTCTCCAAACTGAGAGCTTTAATCACACCTTAAATGATTAAAACGTAAAAAAATCATCACTTTAGTTTCTTGAGCGGGGACTGTTTACAGGAGTGCAGCATTAGCGTCACTGTACTGTACCTTGGCACCGCTGGTCTTGTGTTCTTCCTGGCAGCCATTCAGCACAGCCACATCATCTCCTTGCTCTGTCACAGAAGACCGAACTGTGCTATGGAAAACACAAGGCGGCTAGAAGGACAAAAGGACAGCTGAGTGAGAGACTGACTAATCAAAACGCATGCAGATGATTATAGCTTGAGCTTCAGCAGCATTTTTTACATTTAGTTTATTGCTGGGAATTAAATGTTATCAACTTAATTAAAATTAAAGTAACAACGGATAGTTTTTAAACTTTAAGCTAGAGCTTTAACATTCATCTCAGTGATTTGTTGGGTTACAAACTTGACCAGTTTCCTTTTTGACGCCACTCTGCAGCCCTCTGCTGACCAAAAACGCACTTGATAGTTTTGCGGAGCGGGTAGGTGTCCTAGGGTAGTCTGGCCTGCCAGACTCTTCCTCTGTTTAATTCTGCACAGAGAACTAGTCTGGTTACTCACAGGCAGAGAGGCACATGAGGGGCAGGACTAGCCAGCTCAAAAAGAACCAATCAGAGAAAAAGGCAAAAATGCCGACTGTACCGCGCAACTCTAGTTTTTTTAGCTGTAGTCAAACATCTTTCTTTATAAGAAAGGCTTTTAGCGCTTATTCTTGTTGTGGTTTTAAAGACATGTCCAAGTCATTTAGAACAGAGGAAAGAGCCGCAGTGAACTCTGCTTCAGACAACGTATTAATTGTTTTGGAGAAACTGAGCGTCGCGGTGTGCAACGTACGCTGCTCAGCGCTGATTGGCTCGGTTATAATTCTCGGGGGTGCAGTTGTTTGAATAGATGAGTTTCTAGACCTGGTTCCTAGAGGCTGGTCAGGCTAGTCCTAGGGAGCACTCTTTACTTGCTTTATGACTGTAATGCTAGCGGTTAGCATTTTCAGTTCACCGATTGTCTTTGCCTGGAAATAAAAGGGTAATGTCTTTGGAGGCAAAGCAATGAGCTAAAACCACCATGAACATCAGTGCGGCCTACACTAGTTTGAGGGAGCTAAAGGAGGCTACAAAATCACGAACTGATGGTGACCTGGCTTTGTTGCTACTGGATATGTAAGAAGTAATATTTTTGTCCAACAGTGTGGACCCTTTTACTTAATGGTTTTAGTACTAATTGGCTCACATTAGTGTTGGCTCGTTGTTAACGCAACAGCAGGGTTGTGTAATAGTTGTCCATCCAAAACTGCTCGATGTTACATTAAAGCTATAATCCAGAGTATTTTTTATCCAACGGCACCATCTAGTGGCTGACAAATGTATCACTCCTTGATACATTATTACAGTGGTTCCCAACCTTTTTCCCAAGGGACCCCGTTTCTTACCAGTAAAATTTTTGACGACCCCCTCCCATTCTCTCTTCCAGTACAAACATTATTAAGAAATGATAAAATTGTTCAAGCACATTTTAATATGCTTTGATTCAATAGATAACAGTAATAGTAGGCTCCAGTACAGAACAAAGTCATTAACAAAACCAAACAGAGCATAATGTGATTGACAGTTTGTATTACTTTTCTGAACACATTGTTTCTTGTAAACACTGATAAATCAATCATTCCTTTCAATAAACATTAGACACATAAAAAATACACTGAGCAAAATGTACTTAAATGTGTATATTACTGTTTATACTAGATTATTTACTGTAAAGGCTGTGATTAATCAACCAGTCCTATCTTTAATGAACTTTTGACACTTGAAAATAAAACAGAGAGCTGAGCAAAATGTTCTTAAAAGTGTGTTACTTTTTCTGTACTAATTATTTCCTGTCATAATATCAGTAAACTTTTCACTCAGGAAAAAAATGTGAGCAAAATGTAGGCTATAAACAAGTAATAAATGAAGTTTTAACCCCTTAAAGTGGAGAGGTCCTGGCGACCCACTGAGAGGCTTTGGCGCCCCCTTGTGGGGGTTGGGACCCCCAGGTTAGGAACCACTGCGTTATTATAACTTCAGTACTTACAGCAGAAAGCAATGCCTCTTGTTCGTGAATGTTATAACACACATTGTTTAACAATTATTATCCTCGTGTTATGTAGTTTATTCGCATATTTATATTTTAAAGACTTACAAGTCCACAAGAAAGGTGGCCAATTCTGCATCTGCCTAGGTATGTCCTCAATCGCTTGCGCACCCTCTGTGATTGGCAGTTGTACGTAAACGGATGTCTGACGCTATTGGCTAATGCTGAACGGCGCTCAGTTCAAACTGCATGAGTTCTAAGGGATGGGGGACAGGCTTACCAAAAAAATAAAAGAGGTATTGCCTACATTATAATACAATACAGAGTAAGACTATATTTTTTTCAGATTTCTAAAAAAAATCATAAATGCTTGAAGGGGGAAAACTCCGGATTGCTGCTAATCAGAAATTTCTTATTTTAGAATGAGATTCCTAAAAAGGATTCTCACCGCGATTCGATCAGGTGGTTTTTGAGGCAGGAGGGATTCTGCAGCATGCGCCTCCCCAGGGATAAGGTCTGGTGTGCGGGCGAAAGGGCAAGAGGACACACAGTCCCCGCCTGGTGGTCCCATCTGACTACAGCCACAGTGCTGATCGTGCTCCAGCTTCCGTCCAGAGATCAGGTAGGTTTTCATCCCTAACAGAAAAACAGAAAAATCTCATTTAGACAGACGTAATGTTCTTTCATTTTGCTGGTTTGACTTGACCGGAAAAAAAGACCACACAATGTTTTGTTCACCAAACTGATCGATGTAAAATTAAAGAAAAGCACTCAACCAAAATATTCTAAGAATTAAAACCATACATCCAAATCTGTGAAAAGCTGTCAGGAAAATACAAAAAAAAAAAAAAAAAGCACCAATACGTGGTGTCTTCCAGCAAAAAGGTAAACATTAACCCACCTTCTCCATGGGTGGTTTTCTGTAACTGACTTGTTTAATCATGCTTGTAACACCCAACCGAGACAGAGTTTTGACAATCAGTTAATGTAGGAAACAATTTACTACCTAAATGAAGGAAACAATGATTGTCTACCAACTTTTGATGTCACTCTTTGTGTGGCGGCAGGAATGTCTGAGCAACTGGAAATGTGTCCAAAAACAACCCGAGTCCCCTTCAAAGCCAACACTTTGAGACGGAAACAGGTTCATCCAAAGGAATAAAACGCCTAACATACAATTTAACATAGGAAGTAGTACACCCAATGTATAGCTATTTACACCTTTTAAATAGGGATGGACAATATATCAGCATCACTATCGGTATCAGCTGATGTTAGTCATTTTTTAACATATCGGTATTGGTCCGATACATAAAACCAGGCCGATCTTAACAACCGATATTTTTTCCATCTAGTCTCCATTTGTTTGCCTGTTTCAGAGGGTGAGGGGGTGATGTGTAATTGTTTAGTCATGTGACAGTGAATGAAATCATCTCAGAACCGTAAATGTGTGTGTTGTGTGTACATAATAATGTAAATTCACCTTTAATAATTTTCATTCTATACAAAATCTGCTGATTTTAATGTCAGTATATCGATATCGGCAAATATCGGTTATCGGCCATAACAGTGATCTTAATATCAGATTTCAGTATCGGCCCAAAAAATTTCATATTGGTGCATCACTACTTTTAAGTATCATACACACACATGCTGGTCAGGTACACTAAAGAATACATATTTAACCTTGCACTTTCCATTTCCTGATTAAAAAAATATGTAAACAATGACAAAAGCTTAAACTTTAAACATAAAACACATATGCCAAGATCATGAAATATGGGCAAGACCTACATAAATAAAACTTCCTACAAATAACTACAATTCTTTTGGCCATTTGTTGTTTTATAATTTTACTCAGAACTCCCCTCAAAAATTTAAATTAAGCAAAAATTTTAAGTCAATGAAAAACACAAAAAATAGTTATTACACTATTTGTGCAACAATCTATAATTAAAGTGACATTTTTCCATTTAGAGATCTGTTTATAATTTATGGACAACTTCCTGAACAGCCTGTGTTCAGATAAATAGTATGAGCTAACAGCTAATTTGAGCACAGCATGAGATTAAAGTCAGTTGCTACAGCTACAGTTTTCCAAATTTCACAGCAGCTCATGCAACAATTTTATAAATGTTTTACAAAGCATTCTGCTTCACCAACTTTTCAACTCTTACAAATGCCGGTTGTTTGGAGACATCAGACATATGTCATTTCCTCCTGAGCTGCAACCAATCAGCACGAGTTACCCACAAATCCCATAACTCTAACTTCCTAATGGCCCAAAAGCATCCCTTTAGCAACATTTCCAACTGCTCACATTTATATCTTTCATGCTTTTACAAACTCATGAATGTTCACTGATGTGTGGATGAATTCCATATAATGTAGCAAAAGGCAGCTCTTATTCATCTCATGATGATATAGCCAAGTGAAAAGCCTGAAATTAGCCGCTTCAGGCATCTGAGGAGCGCCGCAGGGATCCAGGACATTTCCAGTCAGTACAGTGATGGGCCTAAACTGGCGTACGACTCAATATGTAAATATTTTTAAATAGTGCTCGAAGACAGGCTGCAATTTAATCAGTGCATCTGTCACAGTGCAGTTAATGATTCATGCTGGTGTGTATTACATGTGCTGAAATTCAGTATCCACTTAAACTGCATGAGTCACTCCTGTTGGATTCAACATGGGATCTCCTGCTGACTCCCCGTCTGAGGCGTCCTGATGCACGACTTCACACTGGAAGTGGCACGGAACAATTCAAACAAATCAAAGGTTTGTGTTTTCAAAGGGTTTAGAATACACGTGCTGATTGGACACAACTTATATAGAATGACCTCATTTATTATAAGGGTGAATATGATGGATTAATCCTCCTCTTATTCCATCCAAGCTTACTAAAGATAAAACGTGTCTCTTTAGCAGACTGCCAATCACGGCGATGTCGACAAATGCTGACAAGCAGGCAACTATACAGTATGTTTGCCTTTCAGCTCTAGGGTTCTGGCCTGTTCACACTGTTGTGGAGCCAACAAGGAGATGCACAAACAGTGGATCAGAGCAGTGGCTCACAGCCAGCCGCTATCAACCTGTTTAAATACACACAAACATGGCTAGCTGGCCTAAGTTAACAGGTCTGCCTTAGATAGCTTGGACACGGCTGGAAGAACACACAGAGGCCATAACGAAACCAGAGTTAGAACGATCAGAGATAATCCCTGTCTAATTAGCCATAAAAGGAAGAAATCCTAGTTGAGACTATGCAGTTTGCTGTCAATTTCAAGTGTGTGTTAATGATTTTTACTAGTTTTTCATTAATAGGCTTTATTTAACCTACGGGTTGTGCAGCGCACCAGACTAAAGACCAAAGGTGACGGATCATTTGTTGCTGTGGCCCCCAGACTCCGGAACTTGTAGTGGCTTTAAATGCTCTCCCCTGAGCCTGAAATCAGTGGGCTCGTTTAAAAAGCAGCTGAAAACTCACCTGTTCAAGGTGGCTTTTACATGACTTTTAGCACCACCCTCTCCTTATTCTGCTCTTTCTACCTATTCCACCTTTCCCGAGATCCACCGATTTCCCTCTTTCCTATTCATTTTCTCTCTCTCCCTTTCCTTGTTTTTTTAATCACATATTTAATTTTTTGTCATTTTAAACATATTTTTAATCATTTTTTAAATCTTTTTTATATTTAAAATGTTTTGTTTCTGTGAAGCGTCTCATGATTTTTATCTTGAGAGGCGCTATAGAAAATATCTATTTCTTTCTTTCTTTCTTTCTTTATTTATTTTTTGTTTCCTTTCTTTCTTTCTTTCTTTCTTTCTTTCTTTATTTTTTGTTTCCTTTCTTTCTTTATTTTTTGTTTCCTTTCTTTCTTTCTTTCTTGTTTCTTTCTTTCTTTCTTTCTTTCTTTCTTGTTTCTTTCTTTCTTTCTTTCTTCTTTCTTTCTTTCTTTCTTTCTTTCTTTCTTTCTTCTTTCTTCTTTCTTTCTTTCTTTCTTCTTTCTTTCTTTCTTTCTTTCTTCTTTCTTCTTTCTTTCTTTCTTTCTTTCTTATCACCCAAGGCTGAAAAGTAAACATTGGGTGATTATGTTTTTGCCTTTGATGTTGTTTTTGCCTGTGTGTGTGTGTGTGTGTGTGTGTGTGTGTGTGTGTGTGTGTGTGTGTGTGTGTGTGTGTGTGTGTGTGTGTGTGTGTGTGTGTGTGAGTTCGATTATGAACCACTTGACAGCTTTTAATGAAACTCTCAAAGAAATCATCAGATCTAACATGAATTAGAAAACACAAAAAGGACTACAACTGTTATTTAAAACATATACTCAAAATGCTAATTTCTTTGATATTGTTCCAAGCTTATTTACAAGATTTGTCAAATATCTGCATTCCTTCATTTTTTGGAGATTTCAGCACAATATCTTCAGATCAAAAAGGAGAGGCCACATTTTGAAATTTTGTCTTTTAATTACTTAGGTACAAAAATAAAACGTTTAAAAATATTGAAAGATGTAAAATGGGGTGTCCAAAGTTTAGAAAACTGCAGTTAAAACTGTCAAGTTAATCGTTCTCGTAGGCCTTGAAAATGTGATTTGTAAAAAATAAGTAAAAAAATAAGCAATTATTATTTTGATTTGTTTTTATTTGTACTCCTAAAAAAGGTTCAACATAGGCATGTTAGTAATAATCAGAACAATAAAAAGTTTTAAAGTGACAAAATTGAACAGAAATGCAAAAGGGGCAGCACAAAGTCATTCTGGCGGACGGCAAATAGCCTCCCGACTGCCCTTTGAACATGCCTGAAGTAATCCTGAAGATATTTGTCTATTTACCCTAAAAATGATCTAAGATAAATATAATGAATTTAAAAAAACTTTTCACAAATATTTTATCTCTACTTTCAGGAAAAAAAAACTGTTAGAAACAGCTTTGTCAAAAAAAAATCATGCACCTGAATGTTTAAAGATAGGATCTGTTGAGTAAATGTCTTGACCTGACTCTATGAACATTTTTATTAAACAGGAAAACGTAAAGATATGCATTCATGTATTCACCTGTTTAACTCTGGTTAATGAGCACGACTGACGTACAAGTGCGTCATTCTGATGCTTACTCGGTGTGCTGCTACACGAGTTTGTGTACAACTTTTAGAGTATTTGTGACCTTTTTAGTGAATCAAATACACAAAGTGCATAGTTTTCATTCCTCTGATTCTTCAGAGAGAGAAAACCATCTGACATTAGTGTGATGCAAGAGCAACGACTTCAGCGACACACAAGATGATCAGCCACAGAAGTGCTAATGTTCACCCATTGGGTTTCTATTCTGCTTTTCCTTCTCATCTCAAGTTTTTACTTGCCAGCATGATAAAATACCAGCTGAAATTTATTTAATTAATAAAAGAAAATTATTTGGTGTACGATTGTTTGATTGGAGTTGAATTCCCTCACACAAACATGGATTCCCAGTCTTTACTGCAACCCATTAGCATCAAGATGTTTGATAACAGGAATCTCCACCTTTCTGTCTGCTTTCATCATGAAACCATGATGAAGCTGTTTACTGACAAAAAAATTATAATAATAACCCACCCAGTTACCAGAATAAAACCTATCTGGAAATCTCTGATACTAACTCGCCAA